AAACCTTTGACTTTGAGCAGCACAGTTTTGTATCTGTAGATCTGTGTGCTGTCCACTTCACATCTGTATTCTCCACTGTCTCTCTCTGTGGGCTGTTTCAGGGTCAGACTGAGGTCTGCAGTTCTCAGCAGGTCTTCATTCATCTGTATTCGGTCCACATAAACTTGGTCCTGTTTGTCAGGCTGGTCAGAGCCGTTTTGATACACATAAACGGTCCTGAATGGTTCATAGTGTCTCCACTCTACTTTAGCATCTTCAGGCAGGTTTTCTGTGGTTTTGAATGCCAGCTGGACAGACTCCGCCCCCTGCTCCACCTCTACCTGACAGACTGAGAGGACAACGAACCCAACATGAGCTGACAGAGACAGCAGCAGCGGGATTTCACAGTTGAAGAGAAAGCTGGAGTACAGACGCACAGTAGAACATAACAGAGGACAGAAATCTAAAAGATAAAGCAGCTTTAGAGCTGATTGAGTGATTGGGTGGGGGCGAGGGTCATCTGCCGTGACCAGTTTGGGTGAGTGGAGGAAGACAGGACATAAGTCATGTTTGACTTTTTTGATTTGTATGTACGACACTGACCTTTGACTTTCAGCTCCACTTGTTTCTTCATCAGGATTTTTCTATACCTGTTGTAGACAGTACAGGTGTAGATGCCACTGTCCCAGTCTGTGGGGTATTTTAGTGTTAAAGTAAGATCTCCAGCTTTGATGAGTCCTTCATTCATCTCTGTTCGGAGTCTGTAAAAACGATGCTGTAATTCATTAAGGTCAGAGGTGTTGTGATACACCTGGACCTTCCTGTTGTCCTTATCTGTCCACTCCACTTTAGCTTCTTCAGGCAGATCAGGTTCGATACTAAAGGGAAGCTTGACAGAATCCTGTCCTGAATGCACCTCCTGCTGGTGAACTGAGGGGACATCAAAGAACAACATGAGCTGGTTAGACAGCAGCAGCACTGAACACAGTTTTTTCCTGGATGAAGTGAAATATTATGGATATCCCAAAAAGTTGATCTGTTCATCTGGATGTAGAATTTTCAGTGGGAGAAATGTTTTGTAACTAATCCAAGTGTCAGCTGACTGCAGGTTTCCCCAATCTTATAAACAGTACATTTGCATAATGACTGAAACCAGATCACTGAAGGAACAATGGGCTGGAGGTCAGTTTATGATCCCTGATATGCATAATCATGACGATTGACAAAGACTATGAGTACCATTCACAGAGAGTTGGGGAATGGCTACAATCACTGCACTGTAAGATGGCGAAAGATGTACCCTTAGGCCCCCTCCTCGATTCAGAGATGGTCTTTCCCTTTTCACATAAATAGCCACCTTGACTCTGCGCTCAAACCAGCGTTCCTCCCTGTCCAGGATGTGAACATCCTCATCATAGAAAGAATTCAATTAAATTTTAACAACAACAGTCGCCTCAAGGTGCTTTATATTGTAAGGTAGACCCTACAATAATACATACAGAGAAAAACCCAACAATCATATGACCCCCTATGAGCAAGCACATTGGCAACAGCGGGAAGGAAAAACTCCCTTTTAACAGGAAGAAACCTCCAGCAGAACCAGGCTCAGGGAGGGGCGGAAACAGGATAAAGACATGCGGTGGAAGAAAGAAAGACATTAATAACAGGTATGTTTCAATGCAGAGAGGTCTATTAACACATAGCGAGTGAAGAAGAAACACTCAGTGCATCATGGGAATCCCCCGGCAGCCTACGTCTATTGCAGCATAACTAAGGGAGGATTCAGGGTCACCTGGTCCAGCCCTAACTATATGCTTTAGCAAAAAGGAAAGTTTTAAGCCTAATCTTAAAAGTAGAGATAGTGTCTGTCTCCTGAATCCAAACTGGAAGCTGGTTCCACAGAAAAGGGGCCTGTAAACTGAAATTTCTGGGCGTACCACAATTCACGGATCACTTGAACTGTGGTACAGGGAAGCAGAAGAACAGCACATCAAGAAGGCCCTGAGTAAATGTGGTTATTCCAGCTGGAAATTTGTCAAAGATGGGAAGACACCTAAAGAAAGCTCCAGGCGAGAAGGACAACCGCTGCCCAAGCAAAAACCTGTCGTGATCCCGTGTCAAGAGTACCGGAGCAGTTGAGACACATTTTTTCTAAACACTGCATCTCTGTGGCTTTTAAACTCCAAAACACACTGTGCCCAAAATTGGTCCACCCCAAGGATCAGGTCTTCCGACACAGAGTAACATAGTGTACGCTGTTAAGTGCCAGGAGGATTGCCAGGATTTTGAGTTTTAAAAATTCTGACACAGTTAAAACGTCAATTGAAATTACAATGAAGTGAATCGAGCTTATTTTCGATTTTAAAAGTGGTCATACCAAATATTAAATTCAATTCAGTTTCATTTATATTTATTGCACCAAACTACAAGAACAGTCGCTTCAAGACCTCTTTAAGTAGTTGCCTCTTTATGTATTGTTAGGTAATACAGCCTAGTTCAGCCCAAAACCTTAACAGAGCCTCCACCGAGTGTTCAGTGGGGCCATTTCAGACTTACAGGCAAACAGTAGATGGATTAACTGAAAGTCCACATGGATCTCTCAGGTGTTTTGCCAGATTCCTGCTGGATTTTCTGTTCTTCAGGATTTTACTTCCGGATAGTGTTCATTTTGCAGACCTGCCATGTACCTTAACTTCCACATGTCCTGTTTCCTCAACTGTTTAAAGGTTACACTGCACAAAATGTCTAGTTTTTGGTTTATAAGTTATTACGAATGTTAAGGTATGGCTAGACATCAGGTGATGATGTCAACAATGATTAGATTTTCAGAGAAAAACAGGATGAGAGAGAGAGGAGGGATGCAAATGAACACATGAGGAAAATTTGGGGCTAGTTCTTGCAATGAGCAGAAGAAATCATGTGACTGGATTGTAGGAGTTCACAATGATAAAATATACCAAGTACAGCAGGAGGAACAACCACAGCCAGAACACTTTGCATTTTTTACTTTTTCTCTACTCATTTTTACCGTGTTGGATTATAAATTCAAGAGGATTTGCATCTGCATTGTTTCCTACTGGAATATAACTTTAAAGAACTTAGCACAGACTAAAGATCATAACAAAATCAACATTAGCTCAGAGTAGGTTAAATAGATAAGTGTGATTAAGTGACTTGGTTTTGGAATTATTGTTATTTGATTCTGCTTTTGATTTGCTCCTGCTAAACTTCTTTAATGAAATCCTTCATTCAAAGAGTCTAAAACATGGACATTCCCTTTTTAACCCTTTGTGAAACAGTAAAGGTAAAAACTTGAGTATCAACCCACATTAATATAAATTACGGAAGAGATTAGAGCTACTGGGGGAAAAAAAGCAGTTATGTCTTTTTTCCCCCCCTTTTCCAGAATTCTGGAAAAGGGAACAAAAATGCGCCAATTTGTTTTTTTCACTGTCCCTAATCCTCTTCCGTAGTAAATAGCTGTTGCAGATTATTTTAGCCTTTTAAAACTAACAAACTACTCTCCAGGCCTCTAAACTAAACCCAGTCATAATTCCAAAAGCACTGAACAAGAGGGCAGCTGCTGCAATGGGTGTGGGTGGTAAATTCTAGGCCTCCAGAGCTAATATGACATTCTGTTTTTTTTGTTTGTTTGTTTTTGTTTGTTTGTTTTTAAATCAAAGTACGTGATCAACACCATTCAAGGTAAATGTAGCTTCTAGATGTAGGTCCAATAAATGTACTTTTACCAAACTTCTGTTATTAAGTGTGCACTGACCTTTGACCTTGAGCATCACTTGTTTCTTCATTAGGACAGTTCCCTTTCTGTTATAGACGGTGCAGGTGTAGGTTGTTATGTCATTGTCTGTGGGGTACTTCAGGGTCAGGCTGACATCCCCAGTTTTCAGCAGGTCTTCATTCATCTTAGTTCGGTCTCTATAAATCAGGTCCTGCTCATCAGGCTGGTCAGAGCCGTTCTGATAAACGTGAACCTTGTCATTATCACTGTCTTTCCACTCCACTTTTGCATCTTCAGGCAGGGGAACTTCGGCTTTGCAGGGCAGCTCAACAACATGTGCCCCTGAATCCACTTTGACAACCTCGGGGACTGAGAGGACAGCAAAGCACAACATGATGACATCAGAAGCAGTAACAACATGGCATATGTACTAACACGGCTAGGAAGCTAATATGGTAACCCTGATTAGCATCTTCATTTTAACTCACTGAATCTTCTTGAAAGACTTTAAACTGATCAAACCAAACAATGCACCAGTCTCACTAATAAATATATTCAGCTGTAAGGATAGCAATGTTTAAGATCCAAATCTTTATCTCCTGATTAGTCTGAAAGTTCCTGATTTGGCTCTGTTACATACTATGGGGCTAGGTGGGTGTATCTGTGTGGTGCTCCCACTCTCTCTCTGGACCTGGCTCTCTCTCACCAATTAGTCTTCAAACATTTTAAAGGCTAGCTGAGATCTACTTTCAAGGGTTGTTGGAGACCCAGCCCAAAGAATGGAGCACCTTGGTGATGTGTTTTGACAGTTTCTCATATTGGGAGCAGTTTGGAGTTTGCTGCTAGTAGTCAGTAGTGCAGGGTTGTGTGTTGCCCTCTCCTTGTGTGGAGACCTTTTAAATTAAAGTTTGTTATTTAACCATTTTGCTCTCTCAGGCCTTTTTCTTCTCCCTTCAGGCCAAATATGTGAAAAAAAATGTGATGAGATGAAATTACAAATAGGTGTAGTTAGGAGAGCTGAAAACTATGAAAACTGACCCATCACTGTCATAGCCATTTAAATCCACATATGATTAAATATCTTGTATTTCCATCAGAAATTATTCAGCATCCCTTGATTGCAAATTAATTATCAGCATGTAAAGAAAGTCTCTTTAGTTATCTGGACTCCAAGATATATAACAGAGTTCCTCCCAGTAATAACTAAAACTGATGTCAGTTCAATAACTGACTTAACTTAGTATTAATTTTCATTGATCATCAATAGAGTCCAGATGCCCTGGAGAGGGACCACCAAATCAGGTTCCCTATGAGCAACCATTTGGCGACAGTGGCAAGGAGAAACTTCCTTTTAACAGGAAGTTCTTCCAACAGAACCAGTCTCACAGAGGTGGAGTTATGACAGGTTGGCAGTGAGTGCAGGAAGACAGCACTGAAGACCCACTGTGTGAAAGTAAGAGAGTTTTGTGATTATTAATAATTAATGCAAGTGGTGTTGGAAAAAATGGAGAGTGAAGAGAGAAAGAAAGATATGCTCAGTGCATGATGGGAAGTTCCCCAGCAGTCGCCATGAATTATGGATAGAAATCAATCTGAAAAAGTTCACAACTGGGTATCATATGAAATGCAAAATAAAAACAAAGTAGTGCTCTGACCTTTGATCTGTATCAACATCACTGACCTCTGACTATCAGCTCGACAGCTTTCCTCACTGGGCTTTTTCGTAACCCGCTGTAGACTGTGCAGGTGTAGGTGTTTGTGTCTCTGTCTGTGGGGTATTTCAGGATCAGACTGAAGTCTCCAGGTTCCAGTAAGTTTCTCTTCATCTTTGTTCGGTCTCTATAAACCTCGTCCTGTTCTCCAGGCTGATCAGAGCCGTTCTCATAGACGTGGACATTCCTGTTGTTTCTGTTCTGCCACTCCACTTTAGCATTGTTAGCTGGGGGAAGAATGATTTTGCAGGGCAGCTGGACAGACTCCACCCCTGAATCTACCACCACCTGGTAAACTGAGAGGACAAAGCACAACATGATGACATCAGCAGCAGCTGTGACGGTCACATGACCTCCCAGTCCCCTCCTTGTCTTCTAGTCTCAGTCAGATTGTGTCTCAGTTTGTTCCTGATGTGTTCCTGACTCGTTCTTTGGTAACTAGTCTGCAGCGTCCTGTAAAGTGCTGCAGACATGTTGGATGAAGAAGCACAGACAGACTGAGCCTCCACAGTCGGCCATGTCTCACACACATCAGCACAGAAACCATGAAGATCTCATGTGTCTGAACATCTGAAGCTCTCCACCACATGACTGAGCACAACTCAAGGAGGAACATTTACTGAAGCTGCTGCAACATTTACTGTCAGCACATGTTTCCATGTCAGCTGCTGTTTACCACCACAGAAGAAGAACAGCTTGTCCACATGCAGCCTCTGTGTCAGATCAATGCAGTGAAGCACACACACTGTTTAGTAAAGTCATGTTGTGGAGCTGTTTCACTGATCAATGACTGAGTCTGAAGGAGGTTTTCTGACTTCTGGAACAAACCTGGAAGTTTCTCTTCAGTTCTCTGTATCAGCTGTTTGTAACTCTCAACTCTTTCAGCTTCTGGAACAAGTTTGTGTGAGCCGCAGTCAAGGAGCCACCAGAGGACACCTGCTAACCATCGGCATTATGGGTAGTGTAGTAGGAGACACTCACCTTTCATGAAATAGTGCCGGAAATGAAATAGAAGACCTCCAGAAACAAGAAGAACCAGAAGAATCATCAGAGCTATGGCCCAGGATGGAAATGGTTCTGTGGAGAGGAAAAGAAAATCACCTCTACTTTCTCATTTGCATCTATACTCTGACCTGTACTTAGATCTCTGACCTTTGACCTGCAGCACTACTTTCTGTCTCAGGATGTCTTTGTCCCTGTAGATGGTGCAGATGTATCCTCCACTGTCTCTCTCTGTGGGGTGTTTCAGGGTCAGACTGAGGTCTCCAGTTTTCAGCAGGTCTTTGTTCATCTTTGTGCGACCACAGTAAAGGTCGTCCTGTTTCTTAAGGTTCTCACTTCTGTTTGGATACACATGGACCGTCATGAGTTCTACATCCAAATGAGTCCATTCCACTCTCGTGTCATCAGGCAGGTCAGGTGTTGTTTTGCAGGGCAGGATGACGGAGTGCGATCCTTTCTCCACTTTTATCTCCACCTCTTGGTCTGAGAGGGCAATACAGCAAAAATAGTAGCTGTAGAAGCATTTATATGAATATTTTAATCATTGACCTGTGACAAAGGGCGTATTCCAGTTGTCCATTTCTAACTGAAAGAAGCAACCCAAAAGTATCTGCATGGTGGAACATCCTTAATGAAAGCAGAGTGGAAAATCCCACCGGTAATTCAGTGTGACGGACCATCCAATCAACAGTGAAAATAATCAGCAAAATAAACAATGACCTTTTTTCTGCTTGGCCGTTACCTAATGATTTGCATTCATTAACAATCTTGTGCTTGTGCTTAAAGTGCTTTGGCACTCTTTGGCAATATTGTAGATAATATTAAACTTAATCATCACATCAGCCTTCTCTGATGACCTGTTTGCTGCTGCCTGCCGCTGAAAGGCATTGGGGACAGGGGACACTTGGACAGTGCATTCATCACCGTATATAATATGTTTTCTGGATACACTGTGCTTTTTCAGCATTCAGAGGTCGATGGCTCTGACCAAATTGGTCGCACTCTAGAGCCCAGTATGTGTGTGTATATATACAAACACACACATATATATAAAACATTCCCTGTCCTATCTGGCATTGTAGCAATCAGAATTATTATCTGAATGTCAAGAAAAATGCCCAACAGATTTACTTTCCGCAGTAGACCTTTTTGCTATACTAGTCCACTTAATTGCCATAGTTTATTCAATCTTTTTTTTTTTTAAGTTATTACAATTAGACTGGACATGACTCTGGGACACAAACAAAAACAAAAATGACAGTAGAGAAACTACAGCAACAACCATGTCAGTGTCTAATGGTAGGGGTCAGGAGCCATAGCCCTGCCCCCCAGCCCATGAAGCAGGCATGGAGGAGATCGAGGCTCCAGACATGTAGAGGTCCCCCAGAGGACAAGAGCCCAAGGAGGACCACCAGAGGCGCAGCTATGCCACCATACTGGAAGCAGCTGAGGAGAGCTCCAGATGGGGGGTCACCCAGCAGTCATGGTGCAGAAGCCCATAGTCTCTGCCAGCAGCCAGCTGTGCCAGACCGGACCTCCGGCCCATAGGCCAAGGTCCAAGGGCTCCCCGGAAGAGGCCTGACCGAGCCAAGTGCACCAACCAGGCCCCGCCAAGCCAGTGAGCTAGTACATACCTGAGAGCCCAGCATGTATGCCGAGACCACCAATGCACCAACAGTTGAGGACATCAGCCAATGGCAGGGAGTGTGATGGCGGGAGATAGGCCCCCAAACCAGGGGGGGGCTTTGATATACTCAGAGAAGTTGAGTCTAAGAACCATCCATTCATATAAACATAGACAAACAGGCACACACAGACACAAACATCCATTCCCACCCTCATGCACACACATACAAATTCTTAGCACTCACCCAAAGCGGGGACAAACAGAAATGAACACTGTACACACAATCACACTCCCCAAACACACTCTATATCCCAGGTCCTGGTACCATCGTCCCCAGAGGGGCAATCCATCCCTAGACCCAGGAGATGTTGACTCTCCACCATTTGACCTTAGAACTGAAGAAGCTTCTCAGATGAGAGGTGAAATGTCTTCAAGCAACTTAAAGAAGTCCAGACGCTTTTCTTTCCAAGCTCCTTAGACATTGTTCTGCTTATGCATTTTGTCTCACAGTGTTGTTAGATGTTCTTAGTGTGTGTTGTTGTTTCCTTGTCGCGTACAGCACTTTACTGTAACATGCTAATTTGCCGAACTAAGGTTTGGTCATAGGAGCATGCAGGTGGTTTCTCATGTGGTCCGCTAGTCTTCTCCCTTTCTTAAAGGTGTGCATGCAGAAGCCCAGTTGTTTTGGAGGAAGGAAGGTTCAGGGTTTCAGTAGTCATCATCATGGGCTCATCGGATTAGAATGAGAATAAGCAGTCATCATTTGCAGGTTTTGTTGTTTTATTGTATAACAGGTGAAGGAAAGAAAGACACACATGGACTGCTCTCTCTAAAAAGGAGATAAAGTATGATTTAAGTCACTCAAAATGATACATGAACTCAGGAGACTCAAAGAGAAACTCACCTCAGCTGCCGCCCCATGTGGGAGTGAAGAAAGAGGTGAGTGCAGTCCTTATATAACGAGTGACAGGTGAGTGCAATTAAGGCCAAGCACCACACCCAATCAAAGGTGAGGAAAAGAAACAAGGTGCATCTGGTGATGTGAATGTGCTGAAAGGTGAGCCTTTACAACACCAGTCATATGAAGTTGCTCTGCTGAATTTGTTTTTATGTGAACAGCTGAGAAAGCAAGAGTTGACTCCTCTCATCCTACACATAACACAACACAGAGAACACGGCAATCTGAGTGTCAGGCCAGACCGGCCACAAACACTTGATACCCTTTTTTAAGAAAATAAAAATAAATATAAATGAACTAAATCAGATTGTATCATTTACCCAGTATAGGGTTTTTTACTAATCAGTTGCAGTTACTTTCTGACCTTTGACCTTCAGCTCTATGTTTCTCTGTCCCAGTTCTTCTCTTCCATCACTGACGGAGCAGGTGTAGATGCCGCTGTCGCTCAGTTCTGGTCTTCTGATGGTGAGGCTGAAGTCTGCAGTTTCCAGAGCATCAGACGTCATTGATGTGCGCCCCCTGTAACGCTGGTTTTGCATTTTGAGATCATCTCCTTCTTCTAGTCGCAGGTGAACACATTTGGGATCAAGATCGTTACGAGTCCACATCACTGTGGGATTCTTCTCAGGAAGAATACCCGAGTACTGGCAGGGCACCAAGACGGACGTTGTCTCCTTATACACTTCCACCACCTCAGCCAGGGCATGCTGGGAACCTGTGAGGACACACAAACAGAAACCAGGGTTAACTGCATGCTTTGGGTTTGTGTCTGTGTCCAAATGGTAAATTTCAGGGACCAGAGAGAGAACTATTTACAGTTAATCTGTCTATGAAATCTAAATTTACTCAGTAAGACTGAAAAAATCTTTAATCAGCTTGTTTAACAGAGTGAAATGGGTACCTGTGCTTGGTAAAGTTAATGTAAAGGTAATGTAATCAGTGAATAAATAATGACTGATAATTTATTGTAAGATCTAGTAAATGTAAATGGTCAGTTAGACTTTTGTGTAATTTGTTTGTATAAACTTAGATGATTTTGTTATTTGACCTCAAACATCTTAAAAGTAAGTTTAGTGAAGCAAAAGACAGTGGTAATTAATTTAATCTGTACATTTGAATGCACACCTATGTTTTACTTTTTTTTACAGTTCTGCCAGACACTTTAAAGTCAGAAATATACCAAGCCTTCAATCATGAGCAGCTAACATGAAGCATTCAAAGGCTTCATTCAGTTGTTAGTAATAAAATGTCCGTCCTGTACAAGGACTGATTGTCACATGTTCACCGACACTTTTGTGATATTTATAATCCCTATATGCCAGTCTCATTTCCTTAATGTTGCCAAAACAAAACAAAGGCAGCAGAATTTTAAGCAAGGATTTAATGAAAAAAATATATTTTATGAAAATCTGACCTTGAAGAAGAGGTCTGAAGTTCAAAGTAATGTGATATTTAGAATTCCAATATATAACTTCCCATATGCATACAACCAAACGCTGCAACTGTAAAGAGCTCTATACAACATTATTATCACTGTTGCCTTCAGATCAATATATTGACCTTTAAAAGAGAAGTCAAAGGTAAACTTTGACATGTTATTGTAGAAATCATAGATTTTAAGTCATACTATTTTTTGTCAATTTTAGAGCAATGAATAATTAAGTTGACCTTAAAGAACCAATTTTAGAGCCAATTTTAATGGATTGTTAACGTGTGCTCACCACTACATAGTTTTCATAATTCATTTAAAACTTCCCATGTTATTGTGTTTTCAGATGTCCTGTTGTGATATCTACACCAAGAAATGACATTTTCAAAGGAAATTTGATCTGTGAATCAGTCTCTTAGGTCAGCTGACCACCTGCTCTTGGAAGTACCGAGATCCAGGAGGAAGCTCAGAGGGGACAGTGCTGTTTCTATCGTTGCTCCTAAATTATGGAATAACTTGCCCTTGCACGTTGGAGCGGCCCCTTCACTGTCCACTTTTAAAACACGTCTTAAAACCCAACTTTATTCTTTGGCTTTTGACTTCAGTGAGACTTAATAGCTGATTTAATAACAAGAGACACTAATTAATTAATTTACTTTCATTTGGCTATTATTTACACATTATGTAATTTTATTATTTACTTCCAATGTAAAACACTTTGCGTAAGCTGTGGTTGTTTTAAAGTGCTTTCTAAAATAAAGATATATTAAAAAAATATATCTGCATTATATATATGTGAATATATGTATAAATGTATTTTATAAATACATTTATGTATAGATGTAGTTATAAATAAAGAAATAGTTATAAATATATCTTTATTTTATTTTTAAAAATCTATGAATAAATGTATTTTATAATAAATAGATCTCTTTCTGGCCAGACAATGGCAGAAAGAGAGTACCAATTTGTTTATTTGGTAGTTCAATTAAAATGCTTCAGTACGTTAAGAGTGAAAAAATAATGCATTTACATTTGCAGTTTTGTCTTGTTATACAGTATTTTACATTTTTTTAAAACTAAACGAAACTAAATTTTCAGAAATATTTCTGGGTGTTTTCTTGTTTGCTTGCACTTAAACATTAAAGTGCCCCTCACATAAGATGACAGTCCTCTAAATGCTAAAATGTTTCTTTTATTACTTAATTCAGTATAGCAGACACTGGTGCATCCTTTATGAAAGGAGACGAGATAATGTTGTACCACAATTCACACACCATCATTCATGAGAACAAACCTGACTGAGAGTGACACAAATCATTGCAATGACCATCATAAACAGTGTGTTTCCCAGTTCCTGCCAAAACCTGATAGGTTTGAACAGTTGTTAAACCTGCAGCTGAACCCTGAACGTCACACTGCTGCTTTTAAAGGGATTTTAAAGTTTATCCCGATTTCATTATTTATGTCTATTGTTACGACTGTGATCGTAATCATATGTAAATTTGAGTGTCCAGGTGCTCCTCCGGGATTGGTGCGTCCAGGGTGGATGGCTCACACCGATTGGCTGAGGACTGGGAGGCAGCGGATAAGAAGAGACCGCCAGGGACTGCCAATTCATTCATCCTCGGCCCAACCCAACCGGCAGACCGTTCACTGTGTCACTATATTATGTTAATGTAAGAGCATGTAGGGGACCGCCTTTTTGTTTGATCAGTTTTCTCCTGTTTTTGTTAGGCAGGGAGGAAAGTGATTGTCGTTTGGTTTAGCTCTTTTGAGTAGGTAAGTTGTGTTTATTCCTGAGATAGGTTACCTTTTGTTTGTTGTTTTGGCCTTGGGTTCACCCTGACGTTATGATATGCTCCCTTCCTTTGTTTAACTGCACTTATTGTAAATAAATCACTGTCACAAAGTGTGTGACGTGCTGCTTGTGGTTGGACGGGGATGGATCACCTTTTATGTTGCAGACGTGGTCTGGCCGCGCCTAGATGGGCCATAACACTATTCTTATGTAGCAGTCTTTATGATAAGCATTACTTTTACTTTCATTTGGAATAGAAAGTAACATTTACTGTAAAACACTGGTATGTAACACGGGAATTAAAAAAAGATAAGAAATAAACAGACTTATTCCTAGTGAAATCAAAACCAGCTTTTAGAGGGGAAAAGTTCCGGTGACCGGATCAGAGGTATGCGAGATTAATCAGGAAATAAACAATCCGCCATCCGCACAGTTTTTAGAACGAAAACAACAACAAACTTTCAAGTTTAACTGGTGATATCCCACTGAGTCACACTTTGTAAACAGTAACAGATATGCCTGTTCCTTCTCCTGTCTGAGAATGATGGTGGTTTTGTTATGTAGAGGGTTATCTGATCAAAGCCTTTTATCTCAGACCTGCAGCCATGACCTGCGTCACCGGGCTAGCTTCCCCCAGGCTCAAACTTCCAACACAAAGCACTGAGTCTGTCGGTCCAGACTTTCTCACACCATCCCTTACTCTTTTACAAATAAAGCCACACATCATTAAATCGGTAATCTCACGCACTGCGCGTATCTACCTTTGCGATAATGAGCAAACTTCGGTCTGAGTGCAAGATAACATTGTTTACAGAGTTTCTTACCGCTAATAAGGAGCAGGAGAAACAGCAGCATCTTCAACCTCGTGCACGAAACAGCAACCTGCACAAAGTCAGTTAAATCCAAACACTTCTCACTGTTGCTCTTAATATTTGCGATTTGTGTCTCATACAAATATTGGGAACCGTCGATAAAAGACAATGGAGGGCGTAACACTCGTTATTAACATACCAACTGTTTACTTTCGGTTTCACGGAAACTCCCGGTGTCCTGTCCCGCAGATCAACTGGTTATTACGTTTGCCGGCATATGTGTTAGTGATGAGAAGCTCGCCTGTTTTCTGAGAGCTGTCGCACGGCTCCCAAAGACGAGCAAATCTGGAACACCGGCTCTTTTGTCTCCCAATGGCTCTTTATTATCATTCGTGGCCTCATATTTTAGTCTTACCTGGCAAATACGAGTGCTTTGTGTGTTGATAAACCCTTTTGCATTGTGTTTTTTTATGAGAAGCCTTATAATTGCCTAATGCTGTGTATTTGTTCTGTTACAAATGCAGGCATTCTTATTTCTGTTTAACATTTTAATATAACTTTTAATTTTAATTTATACAAAAACAAAACACTGCAAATGAATCCACAAAACAGGAGTTTTAATGAAAATAATTTCATTGTGTCTGAAGGTAATATTGATGCGTGTATGCATTTGTAGGACCTGGATACAGAGACTTTTGTAATCTTGACAAATCTTGAATTTCGACTCATAATGATCCCCAAAAGGGAGTCAGTATGAGGAGAAAACAAAAGCTCCATAGCACATACAGAAGCACAGATATCATCACACTATAACACCATGAAACTGATGAAATACATCCATTCTTTTATCCACATCCCACGATTTGGATGTACCAAACTGCATGAAATAAACAACAGCACCACCATAAAAGCCACGACTACGAGAGAAAAAGTAGTTGCTGCTGCTGTCAGCCTCCGAAGCAAGTTTGACCAAAATAAATAATAAATAAGAGACATAAACTTTTCTTTGTTTTTCGTAACACACATGTTTGTGTTTAGTTCACTTCAGACTTCTCTGGATCATAATTATTTACATGTTTGAAAATAACGAAAAATATAAATAATAATAAGCAACAGAAATTGATGTTTTCAGTCAGTTACTATGGTGACATAACAGGTAAAAGGCAACTTTCTGATTCTGAAAACCCAACAATTTGACTTTATAGATAACGACTGTGTTGATGTGATCATGTGGTTTGTAGGACGCTCCTCTTCCTCAGAGGATCCACCTGTGCTTCCTCTCCTCTCTCCTCCACCTGTTATGGTAAATAGTAAATGGCCTGTATTTATATAGCGCTTTACTAGTCCCTAAGGACCCCAAAGCGCTTTACATATCCAGTCATCCACCCATTCACACACACATTCATACACTGTTACAGTGAGGGAACGTCCTCCATGATGGAGGAGCTGCTGGAAAGTGCTGAGAGTTTCCTCCAGAGTGAGACCTCTGTCACAGTTCAGAGGATCTACGGCAGCAGAGACCTTCATGGACACTAAAAGTCTCAAACACACAACAACAACATCACACTGACTCCACTCTGACATCACTGATCAATAATCAAAGAACACACAGATCAAACTGATTGATCAGCCATCAGAGGAGTCGGATCAATGGAGCTGCTTCTGTTCCTGATGTCCCCTGTTTGATCCTGGACCTGAACTCTCCCTGCAGAGGAGACACAAGACAGTCAGACAATGAAGTCGATCATTTCTAGTCAAAGCACCTCTAAAAACTGAATCACTGAAGCGGTATTTTATTCACATCAGAATTACATGTGAGAAGAAAATTTACAACTTCATTTTTCCAGACTGTCAGAATCCAACAGCATCACTGACTCGCACTGGAATGTAGCTGAATGTAAGTGAAGCTCTCAAATAACCGGTCAATTTATGTCCCTACACTCACCTATGGTCGTGAGCTTTGGTAGTGACTGAACGAACAAGACTGCAGATACGAGTGGTGGAAATGAGGGTGAGGTGTTTTGGGCATGTCCCACCGGGAGGAGGCCCCGGGAAATGTCTTGGTGCTCCCCAGTCAAGCTGGAAGAGGTGGCTGGGGAGGGAGAGGGAGGACTGGGCTTCTTTGCTTAGGCTGCTGCCCCGGTTAAGAGGAAGAAATGGATAGAAGGTACTTAAAGATTAAGCTGTTGCTAATGTAAATTGTGGTACCTGGAGCTCTCTTATTAGTGTCTGTGTATGATGATGAGTTTAGAAGTGAGAGTAGCCACAAATTAAATTTATGGAAACGTTGCGTTAAAGTATCACCAATAAAACAGTATCAAGGCTACTAAGTCAGTTTCATAAATCTAATTTTCCCACTTGTTGATGCCCAGACTGGTTGAAACTAGATTTATTTTGCTTGTTTTTGCTGTTGAAACATAGTCCAACATAATCACTCTAACAAGTCAAACTCAAATCACAAGACAGTCAGAAACAAACAAATAAACAAACCTTTGACTTTAAGCAGCACCGTTTTGTATCTGTAGAGATTCCTGCTGTCGACTACACAGTTGTATCTCCCACTGTCACTCACTGTGGGCTGTTTCAGGGTCAGACTGAGGTCTCCAGTTTTCAGCAGGTCTTCATTCATCTTCGTTCGGTCTCTGTAAACCTGGTGCTGTTCTTCAGCCCTCCAGCCGTTCTGATACACGTGAAGCTTCCTGTTGCATCTGTCCCTCCACTTCACTCTAACATCTTCAGGCAGGTTTTCTGTGGTTTTGAAGGGCAGCTGGACAGACTCCGCCCCCTCCTCCACCTCCACCTGACAGACTGAGAGGACAACAAACACACCGTGAGCTAAACAGATGGCAGCAGCAGTTTGCAGCAGAGTTATAGAGAAAGCTGAAGGAGAGAAGGAGACAACAGCAGGAGGTAACAGGACAGAGATCTAAAAAGTCAAAGCAGTTTTCAAAGATGTTGGAGACGACCAGAGTCTGATGGTGCTGCTTCACAGTCATGTCTCCTGTCAGTGTGGATCTACTTACTGCTGAAAGTGTTTGTGGACCTAAAATGAAACATTAGAGAGTTCAAAGAGTTCTAATCACAGATCCTGTCTTCTGCCAAGATCGGTTTCTTTGTAGGACAATATGACTCGCAACAAAGCACCAGATTTAAAACACATCTTCAACCTGGAGCCACAGAACCTGTCACATATCAAGGTTTCATTATTTCTACACATCACTAAGTCCTCAGGATCAACACAACTCATCTCTACAGTTCAGTCTGAGCTGCTCTATTGGACTCTATTGGAAGAGTTAAATCAGCTCCACTAAAACCTGCTGATAATCACATGACCTCAGATGAGCTGCTTCCTCCAAACAAACTGAATGACTGTGTGGATCTGTTTCACCAGTCATGTTGAACACGAACAGCTTTGCAGGATGAAGAAAACGGGACAAAAATTCAGTGTCTGAGAACAGAATCAGAGCCTGAAGTGAGAAATCTCTCCATGAGAAATCCAGACTGGATCAGACTGTCTGCTGGACTCTTACACACATCGAGCGCGAAAAACACAAGACTGTCTGCTCCAACTGAGCTGTGTGACACTAACTGGTTGGTCAGATTGTGTTTACTGGTAGTGTTTTGTTGCTTGCTCTGAATCTGAAGCTCAGTTTGTCTCGTGTCAAGTTCTTCTACATTGTTCCTTAAAGGTTCCTTCATGTTGCCCACTGAGGAGTAACTACCACAACTACAGCCTACCAATGGCTTTTTTCTATTTGGATTCACACCACCAACAGAAGTACTAATGCTTTAAATAATATAACAGATTAAGACACACACACACACACACACACACACACACACACACACACACACACACACACACACACAGAGGAGCAGCACTGACCTCCGACTTTCAGATCCACTTGCTTCCTCATCAGGATGTTTCCCTCCGTGCTGTAGACGGTGCAGGTGTAGGGGCCTCTGTCCCAGTCTGTGGGGTGTTTCAGGGTCAGCGTGAGGTCTCCATTTTTCAGCAGGTCTTCATTCATCTCTGTTCGTCCTCTGTAACGGCGGTCCTGTTCTTCAGGTTGGTCAGAGCTGCTTGGATACACGTGAAGCATCCTGTATGAACTGTCCGTCCACTCAACTTTAGCGTCTTTAGGCAGGTTAAGTGCAGCTTTGTGTGCCAGCTGGACAGACTCCAGCCCTGAATCCTCCACCTCGACAAGGGGGACTAAGAGGACAACAAAGCATAATGTGACAGACGGCACCAGCACTGAGCACATTTTCTTTGGTTTTCTTTGAATGAATTATCTTTGACTGGCTCCGCTCTGACATGCTCCACTTTCTTTGCGTTAGCTGGCTTAACATAACATCAGTCGCATCAAAGCGCTTCATATTATAGGGTAGCTATGTCAGTAATCATCAGTCATTAGCAGTAATATCAGGACTGAGATAATCAACTTTCTCCATTATCCAGGATCTGAGTGTGTGAATCAATGGGGAGAATAATCGTTTGGCTTCATCCAGTAAGAATTCACTCAGTCCTCAAGTCCTCACCTCAGATGTTTAGAACAGAGCTATTAATCTCACTCAATCTGATCAAATGCAGTAATAAAAAGGCACATTTCTCCATTTGACCTATGAATACTTAATATCTGGCTACTTCCCAGTGTAACACTCAAGCGAGTGTAACATTCGCTACACCTGCCAGGACCTAATAGACATCGGTACCCAGCACCAGTCTTGTATTTATGTGCATGAAAGCTGGTGCAACAACGGGACAATAATAAACAGTCAATACTCCCCGAACCTCAAGTACATGTCGGTAAGATGTCGGCCTTTTTTTCTACCAAGAGAGCTAACAGTACTGATCATCACGACTGTGTACATTCCACCCAGCGACAATGTAAACACGGCGCTCTCCATCCTGCTGAACACCATTTATGAACAGCAGGGGGCCACCCTGACAGTGTTCACATAATTGTAGGTGGCTTTAATAAGACTGACATGAAGACTGTACTCCCACAGTTCTATCAGCATGTCAACTGTGCCACCAGAGGAGAAAACACTCTAGATCATGTTTACTCCAACATCAAGCATGCATATAGAGCCATACCCCTCCCCCACCTCGGTCAGTCCGACCACCTCTCCCTCCTGCTCTCCCCAACCTACACCCCCGTCAGACGCACAGCCAGGCCCACCACAAAGACTGTTACAGCCTGGCCTGAAAATGCACTCTCCAAACTGCAGGACTGCTTCACACAGACATATTTGAACACCAGGATCTAGAAAATTTCACAGGATCAGTACTGGATCAAGTTCTGTATTGGGAATGTGACTGTGGACAAAAGCATTTGGCTTTTCCCAAACCAAAAACCCTGGATGACCAGCGAGATCCGCACACTCCTCAAAGCCCGCGATGCTGCCTTCAGGTCAGGTGACAGAGCTCTGTACAGGGCTGCTCCGCTGATCTGAAAAGGGGAATTAAAAAAGCCAAGACAGACCATAAAGGAAGCATAGAGTCCCACCTGTCCAGCAACAACACACAGGGTGTGTGGCAGGACATACAAGACGTCACAAACCACAGAGGCTGCACTGTGAAAACAGAGAACCTGAGTGTGCAGCTGGCAGAGGAAATAAACAGCTTCTTTGCCCACTCTGAAACACTACAACATCTGCTTCAGCCCTGCTCCCATCCTCATCCTCACCTGGTTCCCACATCGTTCAGATGTGTTCCTAGTAGTGGACCGGCAGGAAACCTGGCAAGGTACTAAGAGCATGTACCCACCAGTTCACCCTCATCTTCACCAGACTCTTCAACCTCTCACTGGATCAGGCAGCCATCCCATCCTGTCTAAAATCAGCCACAATCATCCCAGTGCCGAAGAAGTCTCCCATCTCCAGCCTGAATGATTACCGCCCTGTGGCCCTCACACCGGTAATCATGAAATGCTTCGGGAGACTAGTCCTTCAGCACATCGACCCCTACCAGTTTGTATATCGCACGAACAGATCCACAGAAGTCACCTAGAACAGCAGCAAAGCTACGTCCGAATGCTCTTTGTGGACTACAGCTCAGCCTTTAATACAATCATCCCGGACTTCCTCATCACCAAACTGGTCACTCTTGGCCTCCCTCCTCTCACATGTGCCTGGATAAAAGACTTTCTCACAAACTGGCCCCAGACTGTAAGGCTCGGCCCTCATCTCTCCTCCACTCGCACACTGAGCACCGGCTCCACACAGGGCTGTGTGCTGAGCCCCCTCCTGTATTCTCTCTACACCCACGACTGCAGTTTGACCCACAACAAAAATCCCAGATTTGTATAATTCTGCATTAGGTATTTATTTTTTTTAATACACTTCATATGTATCTAGTGCTGCAGGACTGTGCACCTCACCCCCTTTCTTTTCTCACATGTCTGCACCGAGTAGGAGATGCTCTGTATCTCATTGTACATGTAAAGTGACAATAAATTCAATTCTATTCTTTTCTAAGCAGAAAGAGTGCAGGTCACAGCTGGTCATTATATTAAATACTTGTGAAAACCAAGTATGCTCTTACCTTTGACTTTCAGCTCTACTTGTTTCTTCATTAGGATTGTTTTTTTTATCTGTGCTGTAGATGGTGCAGGTGTAGGTGGAGTTATCTCTGTCTGTGGGGTGTTTGAGGGTCAGGCTGAGGTCTCCAGGTTTCAGTGGGTCTATATTAATTTCTGTTCGGTCTTTGTAACAGTGGTTCTGTTCTTCAGGTTGGTCAGAGCCGTTCTCATACACGTGGACTATCCTGCCTGAACTGTTCTTCCACTCCACTTTAGCTTTTTCAGGCAAGTGAATTGTGGTTTTGAGGGGCAACTGGACAGACTCCACCCCTGAATCCACCTCCACCTGAGGGACTGAGGGGACAAAAAAGCAAAACATGAGCTGTACAGACAACAGCAGCACTGAGACCATTTTCTTTGACTTGATGAAGTTAAATATTTACTCTGAAAACATGTTGGGCTGGGTTTACTCTGAAATATGCCCCAATGCTCCACTGCAGAGAGAAACAGTGTTGTCTTTGGTTTCTGTCCAATCAGCAGCAGAGCTGACCACTTCTTAAAGGAGTATTAGATGTTATTTTCACATTTCCAGAGTCAAAGCTTTACTTGATGTCTTTGAAAAGCATAAAAATGTTCAATGCAGGAAACTCTGAACTTGTTCCTTGACTGGTTTCCTATGAAGCAAGTGTGGTGGTTATATGAATGTAGAATAGCACCACAAATGGGCCTTATGCTCTACCACACATACACACTCTCACAGCGGGGCCATTATAAGTTCATGTGAGACGTAAAACAGACAGCGAGACTCCTTATCTCCTTATCTTATCTTATCTCAGGGAAGAAGGAGGGAGGACTTGGGATATAAATCGTTAGGCAATGGCTAAGTAGAAAACACGGTTGTAATCCTCTCTCTTTCTCTCTGAAGGGAATGTTTTCAAGGATAAGCTGAACTAAAGGTATAGACTCACGTGGTGTGTTGAGGAATTTTCCTTGTCTGTGAGGCATATAAGACATGAGCAACCACGCCCATCTTCAGAGACTGCTTAGGTGTTTGACCAGAGCGTTTCTCTGTGCTGCAGCACGTCACCAACTTCAAGTAATGCTCACCAGGTGTTTGCAGTTTATTTAAAACTTCTATGACACAAGTTCAACATATCCAGGCAACAGCCAACACAAACAAACTGGCTTTAGCACCTTGAGTTGACTGATGACTTTTACCATTATATAAATGAAATTTAATTGAATTAAACAAATTCTAAACTCCAATGAGAGATCCTCCTTCTCTGTTAACAAGATTTTCTGCTTCAGGCTCTGAGCTCACTTACATTAAAAGGGGCATTTGATGCATCACGTGACTCTTCTGCACAAAGAAAACTGACTGAGTGGCACCTTCTTTGCTTAGAAGCCCTCATGAAGATAATTATCACAGCAAAAAAATACAAAAACAAGAGTGGAGCTGCAAGTAAGCGCGAGAGGAACGCAGTAATGGACTCTACCAGTGCATTCAGCTCTGACACTGTCACATCATGAAGGAGACGTGGAAATCACTTTGTTACACAAATCAAAGTCAAATCAGTTCTATTGATGGAATATTGTGTGATCAATAGACTGATCAGTTTCTAATCTGTCATCTATCAGCTGGAAATCCAGCATGTCAAACAGACAGGCAGCAGATTAGGACCAAAC